GGGGGATATATATATATATATATAAATGAATTTTGACGTCAGATTATTTGACCGCCCCCCCCCCCAATCAACAATTGTCAAACTTGTTCCATCTCTCACCTTCCCCATTTATTTAAAGACATGTCACATATACTTTGAGAATGAATGGATTTTTGTGTGTGCAAAAAGTTATATTAAGAATAGAAAAGAAAAACTAATTGTTTGTTTATGCTTCTCTTAAAAGAAACTGGTTGTTGAAGGGCGAACCTATTTAGCATAACTGCTCTGCAAATAAATATCCGCTTTTAAACAAATGTATGCACCGCAACAGCATTAATTTGAGAGCCTTTTAATTGTACCACTTCCGGTTGGTTGAACTTCCTCTATTTTGACGACATTTTGTGGAATGGTTTCAAGCTATTAACTATAGACATGGGGATCTCTTTCCCACAAATAGGCACCAATTCAAACGGTGAAGCATTTTCAGATTGCATCCAGAAAACCATTTTTGTTTAAAACTGTTCGCATCGGTGCAGTCAAGTTTTATCTCAAAATGTTGAAAATTTTCAATAAAAAACAATATGGTTTATGTTTGAATAAAATATAAGAATTGGTATGTTTTAAATATGTTTAGTCATAGAAATACACTCTTTTTTTATAAATCACACGAACACATTGGTCTGTATCAGATCCTTTACTGAGGGATGGGGAGCTAACCGAGCCATATGATCCATGTCTCATATTCATGGGTGTCTCAAAGTAGCACAGTGGCGTAAATTAAAACATCACCTTATTTCGTTACAAATTATTTCAAAATAGAAAAATGGGTTCCGAAAAAAACTATCCATATATATTTTTAATGGATGAAAATGGATATTGCGAAAAGTATATTGTTAGAGGATAAAATAATTAAATATTATTTTTAGAAATGTTTCGGTCTCGTCTAGGCCCATAATTGAGTTATACAAAGCTCTCATGGAGGTCATGAACTCACTGCTCACCCTTCAGTCTTATCATTAACTCATTAATTACCCATTGCCACCTGGTAAAGTGAAGAATACTACTCGAGTGTATTTGCAATAAATCAACAACTTCAGCAGGTCATCTCCATTAGTCCCACGGGGGACTCTCACCTGTAGGCTCCAACTGTTAGTAGCTTGTCACTATGAACCACACACGAATCCCCCATTGTAGATTTCAAAACAAAAGCAAACAAACAAACACTATGCTCTACGTCTCTAACCCGGACAGGAAGGCGCCGTAAATTCTCCATTAGGTACCAAGGGGCGTCTAAATTCGTTGGGCCCGCGGGCAAAAAGCATTTCAAACGTCTTAAGATGCCAAGGTGTTTGTTCATTGGTTTTTGTTAATAGTATCTCCCCTTCACATCTGTAAGTGTGAACACTTGACACTTGCTGCCGTTCACTGCGGATATTTCTTTACTGAATACGTCCAAAATTTTATAGTATAGTGACGTTCACAATGGTGTGGTGACGTCCAAAATGTTATAGTATAGTGACGTTCACAATGGTGTGGTGACGTCCAAAATGTTATAGTATAGTGACGTTCACAATGGTGTGGTGACGTCCAAAATGTTATAGTATAGTGACGTTCACAATGGTGTGGTGACGTCCAAAATGTTGAAGTGACGTCCAAAATGTTATAGTGTAGTGACGTTCACACAGTTAAGATTATCGCAGTGCCCCCCCCCTCCCCTAGATCAGAAGTCGGCAACATACGGCCAAAATTAGCACACATCATATTTTCAATGGCACCAGAAGACCACGTGACAGAAATAACTAAAAAATATATATATTAAAAAACTGCGTCTCCTAATCATAAGGTAGACTTATATAATGGGTTCATAGGATGCTGAATGGAGTAGAAGTTTCATTATATTACCAAAAGGTTATGGACACGTGCACCAAAATGGCACATTCAGCTTGAGATATGAAATGTTGAAGGCCTATAAATTTAATCAAAACTGTTTTGTATATGATATAATTTTGAATGAAAGAAAGGGAGGCGAGAAATAATGGATTTGAATTTAATAGAAAGTGGTTCTGGTTTTTTAAAGCGATCCTTGGGCTTGGGTCGAGTTGAACTTTCTTTTTTTTTTTTTCAGATACCGCCCGAAAGACCAGGCGAATAAAACACCATGATCCATCTAAGGAGACCCTTTCAGCTCTTCCTGTGGCTTGGACTACCATCAAACCACCGTGCTAGTCTCGTTGGGATTTTATCTATTGTTCTGGTCACCGTGCTTCTCCTGAACGCTCGAACTTACGGAGTCACGCTCTGGCTCAGGAGTCTGTCGTCGCCATGGCTGTTGTGGAAGAAATCGTGTTCGCAAGTTCCAATGTTAACAGGCAATGTCACAATGTCACGTGTGAAGTGTTGACTCTTGACAAGCATATTATGTTGTTATTATTTCAATCGTACTGGTGCCTAATGAATGCCCCCCATCCACCCCACCCCATTTTCCCACCCACTCCATCGTTTATGGTAAATTGGTTTACTTTACAATTGAAAAGAAAAATATTATGTTTTTTTTTAGATTAAAATTTCACGAATCTGACATTTTTAAGAGCTGTCCCCCCATCCACATTTTTTATTTGGGGGGGGGGCCTCCAACCCTATTGTTCGATTCCCATAATTTTGGCGTGTTCCACGTGACACAAAGGGAGCCCGTAGAAATGAGCTCGCTTCAATCTCCATTAGACCAGCGGTTCTCAAAAACCTTCGTCATTGTGAGAGCAGCACCCAAACAGCATACACTGTTCTTCTTTATATGGATGGTCGGCATTTCCCGTCCAACACAAGGATTTTTTCGTGAAAGAAGGGCGGCAAAAACCTTGACCCGCCCCTGGCGGCACTTTCCCGAGCTACGCCACTGCATACATGGAACAACCTTGAGCAGCACTGGCTGGAGCTGACAAACTTTTAATATTTTTGCTCAACCGATTCGTCGTTTAATCTTACCTCCATAAAAGAAACATGCTGTCTTTGGGGGTATTTCAGTTTTAGATATGTTGTACTCGGTTTAAGTTTAAGATTGATTTGCATCCTTATGCGAATCATAGGCAATGTCGTGAAGTGGAGAACGTAGTGTGGGTCTATAGGAGGGTAGAGGGTGAAAGATAATGTAGCTCTGTGGAGCCAACATTGGCGTGTTAGGATGAGCCAAAATTTATTTGTGAAATTTTAGCTAAATCTCAATCATATTCTTCTCCCTCCTAACCGGTACTCATTGCTAAAACCTGGACCCTAAAGTTGCTGTTCACATTACCATTAAGTTGTTGTTTACATTACCATTAAGTTGCTGTTCACATTACCATTGAGTTGCTGTTTACATAACCACTGAGTTGCTGTTAATATAACCATTAAGATGCTGTTCACATAACCATTAAGTTGCTGTTTACATAAACAATCAAGTTTTTGCTTACATAAAAAATCAAGTATTTGCTTACATAAACAATCAAGTTTTTGCTTACATAAACAATCAAGTTTTTTGCTTACATAAACAATAAAGTTTTTGCTTACATAAACAATCAAGTTTTTGCTTACATAAACAATCAAGTTTTGCTTACATCAATCATCAAGTTGGCGGACGAATGACGACCCCCGAGTATCCAGTGGAAGATGCTGCAGAAATCGTGGACACGTTGGTTGACCTCCAGGCGGGCGGCCACCACACGCCAAGTTCGTGCTGGCCCGAGTCAAAGGTGGCCGTCATCATCCCTTACCGGAACCGGGACAAGCACCTGAATGTACTGCTGCAAGTGCTCCTGCCAATGTTGATACGGCAACACCTTTATTTCACGATCATTGTAGTTGAACAGGTATTTTATCGGACGACTGCGAGACCCTCTGACCCACTCTCTCAAAGCCCCCCATTAACTTTTTTTTTTTTTAAGAGGTCATTAAACACTTTTCTGTTCAACCGGCTTCAATGAGCCTACGTCATTAGCTGTAATTTTCGTTCGTTTGACAGATCAAATATGATTTTTTTTTCAATGATGGACTTATGGCGGTGCGGATGTGGGTTGGAGGGGTGGGGGCACTCACCTCGGGCGCCAACAACGGTGTGGGGAGGGGGTGCCAAAATCGTGTTTAGATAAGAATTTAATAGTGAATTAAACGATAAAATCCTATTTACTTCACAAGACAAGGGCGCCAAAATTGTCTTTTTTATTTGTCCACCCCCACGTGGGCTCCTTTTCTATATATTGAAGGGCGACATTTTCAGGGTTCGGCCCGGGCGCCGCTTGCCCTCGGCATGGCCCTGGAGAACTCAGGGCGCACTTGTGATGCGGGTTGGCAGTCAGCCTGCGGGTGGCACTTTTTTTAAATTATATATTTAGGGGCGTCATTTTCGGCAAACGACATAGGTTTTTTTTCGTGTGTGGGGGGGGGGGGTCGGAAAAAATATTTTCCCTGTCCCAATGGCACTAACTCTTGCTAAGCCACTGCTTAGAACTTGGGGTGTTTTGAAAAAAAAAAATAGTGGCACTTTTTTTAAATTATATATTTAGGGGCGTCATTTTCGGCAAACGACATAGGTTTTTTTTCGTGTGTGGGGGGGGGGTCGGAAAAAATATTTTCCCGGTCCCAATGGCACTAACTCTTGCTAAGCCACTGCTTAGAACTTGGGGTGTTTTGAAAAAAAAAAATATAGGCCCTATAGGTTTCTACAAAAACGGAAATTTTATCTTTGTGTTTTTTTTTCTGAACTTTAAAATATTATTTTTTTCCATCCCGTAACACTGTAGCTCTCGTATTTCAGAAAACATTTTACTTTAGGCATCTGCTTTTCATTTATATTATAAAGTTCTTAAATGTTAACATTAAAAATATAACATTTGTAATACATTTGAACTATAGCCCGTTGGTTTAAGTACATGTAATTAAATGAAAATTATGTATGTATTCAAGCTATCGTTTACCTTCGTTAGACTTATAATTCCAAGACATCAAACATGACACGTGACGTAATACCTAACACGAATCTTCCATTTTGAAGGTTTCCAACAACACCTTCAACAAAGGCATCTTGTTTAACGCCGGCTTCCTGCAGGCCCTGAACATGGATAACTTTGACTGTTTCATCCTCCACGACGTGGACATGATTCCCATGGATGACCGGAACATGTATATGTGCAACGACACCGGTCCTGTTCATCTGGCCTCGGCCATCAATAAATTCAACTATGGGTGAGCAATACAGAAAGAGAATAAGCCCTGGACGAGATCTCGCGACAATTTCTTTGACACAGAGGATCAAATCTGACCCGACAACCGTCTTGCCTCATAAAGCATTACCGTGTGGTATTCATAGGGCAGCAGAGGCGTAGCTAAGGGGGGAAGAGGGGAGGCAGATGTCCCTGGGTGCCATACCAGCTTAAGTTACTGGCGCCAAAATGTTCTTTGATATTATTTTATTGATAAAAATAATGGGTTTGAGAGTTGAAAAAACGAAAGGGAGGCTCTTTAAAATGAATCGTTTCCCCGGGCGCCAAACACTCTCTAGCTACGCCTCTGCAGCGCAGTGTGAACAGTGAAATGCGTGGGCGCCAACTTTGAAGATCAATTTCCTTTTAAAAATCATAAAAGACTTGGCATGAGAATCGACAGCTTGTATCTTTATTTATGGTTTTTTTTTCGAGCTCAAATTTTGAAAGATTCCACTAGCGATGGAGAACTTAAATTCGGAAACACAGCTGACATGTTATTCAATGTTCGGTAGATTTAACCCTTATCAAATATTTTTTTTTTTATATTTTTTTTTTTTTTTTAAATTTTTCCAGCACTCTTTTCCCGGGACTTTTCGGAGGCGTCGTTGCGTTTACACGTGTTCAGTACCAGCTTATCAACGAAATTCGGAAAAACAGTTGACATGTTATTTAATGTTCGGTAAATTTAACCCTTATCAAATATTTTTTTTTTTATATTTTTTTTTTTTTTTTTAAATTTTTCCAGCACTCTTTACCCGGGACTTTTCGGAGGCGTCGTGGCGTTTACACGTGATCAGTACCAGCTTATCAACGGCGCATCCAACATGTACTTCGGGTGGGGTGCAGAGGACGACGATTTAAGGGACAGGTATTGAAATATAATTTCTGTGCGTGGTGGGGAGTGGTTGGTAATGAGTCACGGATTATGTTGCAGGATTTAAAATGTCTAAAAATTGGATTGTGTGTTTTAGTCTAATACATTCTGTTTGAGACTATAATCGCTCTGCACCATCTTGTTTTGCATGTCAAGGGCGAGACGAAAGAATCTGACACTGTTGAGGAGGAGCCCCAAGTTTGGTGTCTATGACATGATTGTACACCACAAGGATAATGGATGGGAGATGAACGAGGACAGGTAGTCAGGAAGTATGATTACATTTACACATCCCTGTCAGTGTTTGCTTACATATCCCTGTCATTGTTTGCTTACATATCCCTGTTACTGTTTGCTTACATATCCCTGTCAGGGTTTGCTTACCTATCCCCGACAGTGTTTGCTTTCATTTCCCTGTCAGTGTTTGCTTACAATTCCCTGTCTGTGTTTGCTTACATATCTCTGTCAGTGCTTGAATAATATATATATATTGCTTGAATAATATATATATATATATTTCACTTTCAATGTTTGCTTATTGGGGAGATATCTGTGTCAGTGTTTGCTTACATGCCGCTAACAGTGTTTGTTTTACATCTCCCCGTAATGGTACTTAGTGGCCGAGCAGTAGCCCGACTCACTCCCAAGCTAGTTGGCTAGTTCCATCCTCAGAAAATCCCTGTACAAGCAAAAACATCACCACCTACCCGGCAAACTCTGACCTCAAACCCGGAGATGGAGTCCCGTAGGCGGTATGACATTGACACAATGAAATTCCCAACAGCTGCTGCGACGTAGAACGCATAAAGAGCACCGTGAAACACACTAGACACACTGCTGGTCATCTACTGCATCCTGGTCTATTTGCAGCAGTCTTGCCATCGGATCAAATAGGCAAGGACGAAAGAGTGAGGCTTAAAAATGGAGCAACTCTCCCTCACTGAAACAAAATTCAGCTCAAGTCAAGGCTACTACTCAAGTCAAGGCTACTACTCAAGTCAAGGCTACTACTCAAGTCAAAAAATTGCCTTGGTCATCTTTATGAATGTGCGAAGGGCAAACAATAATAATAATAAAACTAAGCTATTGGTGTTTTGAAGTCTACAATTTTGATGCCATCGTTATCTCTACTGGCTCTGTACATGCACTTTTCACTTCTCCCCCATTGTGGGGAACAAACTATACAAAATGAGAAGATAACTCTCTTTTTTTTTTAATAACAACCACACCCGGACTCAGACCTGCCGGGTTTTTCTCAAAATACTCGTACCAATACCGGGTGTACTAAAACTAATTCCGGCTCGGCCCTATTATCAATTGTTGATTACACCCAGCTCAACCCTAGTATCAACTGTTGATTACACCCGTCTCAGCCCTAGTATTTATCAACTGTTGATTACACCCAGCTCAACCCTAGTATCAACTGTTGATTACACCCGTCTCAGCCCTAGTATTTATCAACTTTTGATTACACCCAGCTCAACCCTAGTATCAACTTTTGATTACACCCGTCTCAGCCCTAGTATTTATCAACTGTTGATTACACCCAGCTCAACCCTAGTATCAACTGTTGATTACACCCGTCTCAGCCCTAGTATTTATCAACTGTTGATTACACCCAGCTCAACCCTAGTATCAACTGTTGATTACACCCGGCTCGGCCCTAGTATTTATCAACTGTTGATTACACCCAGCTCAACCCTAGTATCAACTGTTGATTACACCCGTCTCGGCCCTAGTATTTATCAACTGTTGATTACACCCAGCTCAACCCTAGTATCAACTGTTGATTACACCCGTCTCAGCCCTAGTATTTATCAACTGTTGATTACACCCAGCTCAACCCTAGTATCAACTGTTGATTACACCCGGCTCGGCCCTAGTATTTATCAACTGTTGATTACACCCAGCTCAACCCTAGTATCAACTGTTGATTACACCCGTCTCAGCCCTAGTATTTATCAACTGTTGATTACACCCAGCTAGCTCAACCCTAGTATCAATTGTTGATTACACCCGTCTCAGCCCTAGTATTTATCAACTGTTGATTACACCCAGCTCAACCCTAGTATCAACTGTTGATTACACCCGGCTCGGCCCTAGTATCAACTGTTGACTACCCCCGGCTCAACCCTAGTATCAACTGTTGATCTTTCTCATCAGACTGCAAGTGTTCGGGATGCGCTACGCACGACAGGACATTGACGGCCTCAACTCGGCGATTTACAACGTCACGACCATCAGATTTTATCCGGCCTACACCTGGATTGGGGTCTCCATAAACAGGACCCGGATAGAAGAGGTAGGACCCGGAAAGAAGAGGTAGGACCCTGGTAGGAGAGGTAGGACCCTGGTAGAAGCGGTAGGACCCGGATAGAAAAGGCATGCCAGGACACGGAAAGAAGAGGTAGGCCCCGGATAGAAGGTGTAGAAGCCTGATGGAAGAGGTCGACCCAAGAACCGTAGTACTGGGGCTTCCTTCACGTTGTGGTTTTTTTTACATCGGGTCCGGGTATTTTGAGAAAAGTGTTACAAAAAAATAGGTTAACTTCTTAATTTCTATAAAATTATTCCTGCCAACTATAGGCCGACGGACAGTCCCACACAATAGGTCTACAGATAGCTCGACAGATAGTTCTGCAGACAGTCCTACAGACAGTCCAACAGACAGTTCTACGCCATACCCGTGGCTTCTTATTGATTGGTATCATAGTCGCCTCCGAAAACTTCAACCTCATTACCTGAGTTCAGCCGTCACGCGTGACGCTCGCTAATTGACAGGTTTGTTTTCCCCACTCAGTACTATTAATATAAAACATGTTGAGTAAAGGGAGGGCCGGTTTAACTAAGAAAGCAGCCACAGCAGAAGCGAAGTATATATATATAAGAGATGGTAAAAGAAATTATCAATTTCAAATGCATTAAATAGACATTTATTTAACATTTGACATCATGACTTCCGGGTGTCGGATGCATTCGGGAAGGTTGTTTTTCACGAGTCAAAGACTCAGAACGTGTGACATCAGCCTCCGGTTTGATCCAATAGAAATCACTGACATTTGACATAGCCCATCCACGACTCTGACAACTCATTCCGGTTTTGAGATCACGACTTTCTTGCATGTGTGTAAGAGTGTGCATGGATGTGTGTTCTTGGATGAGAGTGAGCGCGGTTTTGGCAGAGCACCATGGGCGTCGCAGCATGTCACGTGATTCGCATTCCCTTCACAGACTGTACCGAAGGATTTAAGAAGAGGGAGCAGTGACGGCATGGACTACCAGGACGCCATCTTTGTGATCATCGACTGATCGTCCGGCAAAGAAAACGAGAGTCACGTCTGTGGTTGGAAACGTTTGGACCTGTTGCACGTCATGCTCCACACTCTTCGCTTTGGTGACATAAATAAAGTCTTTGGGCTCTTCCTGGTTTTTTCGTGTCTTGCTTTTTTTTTTTCTTTTTTTGGCCCGTCTTTCCCTTTGAGAGTCGGTAACGGTGAGCCTGTGATATTGGTGAGCCTGTGATATTGGCGAGCCTGTGATATTGGTGAGCCTGTGATATTGGCGAGCCTGTGATATTGGTGAGCCTGTGATATTGGTGAGCCTGTGATGTTGGTGAGCCTGTGATGTTGGTGAGCCTGTGATGTTGGTGAGCCTGTGATGTTGGTGAGCCTGTGATGTTGGTGAGCCTGTGATGTTGGTGAGCCTGTGATATTGGTGAGCCTGTGATATTGGTGAGCCTGTGATATTGGTGAGCCTGTGATATTGGTGAGCCTGTGATATTGGTGAGCCTGTGATGTCGGTGAGCATGTGACATTGGCGAGCCAAGGTTGTTGGTTTTTTTTGTTGTTTTTTTTCTGTGGACCGGCATGTTATGACATTATCAGTTTTTTTTAAATTATTTTATTATTATTATTTTAAAAATATAAAAATTATTACATTTTCATAGCATATCCGAGGCGCAAGCCCCACCCCCACCCCCTTGAGAGTCAAAGTCTGGAGAAAAAAAGTGAGGCCTTTCACCCCTATTCGGGCGTTTGGTAGACACACTTTAAATTCCACCAAATTTAATGAGTGAAATTGGCACAAAAATGTGAGAGAGAAAAAAATGAGTATAAAGAAAGTATTTTTTTTTTTTAAATTAAGAACTTGGCAAAGTTGAGAACCGTTGGATACGATGGTGCATATGAACGCGTAGGTCAGAAAAAAAGAGCTAAAAACTAATGCGGAGCGCCGACCAAACACTCGTCCCCAACGGACTCGTGAAGATGAGAGCTGTTGTTAGTCTCCTGGCAGTGTTCGCGACCCTTGCTTCTGACGCACAGGCCGCTGTGTCTGTACAAAAAGGTAAGAGTTCTGCGGTCACACACGTTTTCACAGAGGTAATATTAAATGATTTCTAGTGGTATCAGTTTTTATTAACAATAACGTATTCTTTCCGCACATGTTATAGTCGTATAGTAGGGGTGGGGGGGGGGGGGCTTGATGGTGCTCAAAATGATGCCTTGTGTCAGTCTATTCCACAATATTAATCCATTTTTAAATTAGTGTAAAGATGAGATTTTATACTCAATGTTATCAGTATTTAAATACTTATATATATTTCCTTTGCTCCCTAATCAGCGAATTTTGTATTGAGAGTATATTACAAATAATTATAAATGTTTGAAAGAAAGAACGGTTCAATAATGAATTCAATTGCGCGCAAAATATAATTCCCGATAACTACGCTAATTTTTTTTTTAATTTAAATAACGCAACTGCGTTTGGTGCGTAGTATTTTCTTTTCGGAAAATGAAATCGTCTCAATTTAAATACGGTGTAAAAATATTCGGTTTAAAAGTGGTTGGGACATGAGAATTTCTATATATATAATTCGCCAGCAAAAGTCAAACACCACCACGCAGGCTATATATAGATTACGCCAGAGTGTGGTTAAATAATGAGTTCATTAGCGCGCAAAATATAATTTCCGATAACAACGCTAAATGATAATATATAATTTTTTTTTAATAACGCAATTGCGTTTGGTGCGTAATATTTTCGACTAGTTTAAGATAATTCATGGGCATGAAATAAAAAGTGTGCAGTGACGTATCATGGTGGGAAAGGGACATAGCAAAATTAAGTGTCTTTCACTTGAAATCATGTATTGTCAATATATATATATATATATATATATATATATAT